GCTCGGGATCTGCGGTTTCGACCTGTAACCGGTTTTGGTCATGACTAAAACCAAATTATCTGATGATGTATGTCGGTTTGAATTGGGAAAACTCAATCTCGACTCGCTTATAAATTTAAACAAACCAAACTCAAATAGCTAATTGAACTTGTCGATCAAACAAATAGAGTCGAACATGTTTGCAATCAACTCTGTAAGAGTTTTTTCTTTGTCTAGGAAATGAGGCCGAATTAATTATTGAGGCGAAATCAACAAAAAAATAATAATAAATGAAAATGGATAACATACTGTGCAATAAGACGAACCCAATTAAATAGCTCACAAGAGAAGTGTGTGTCAAGCTTAATTATCCAGTTCAATTGACACTTGTCAAGTCAATCCATTAAAAAATTAAACGACAAGAGCGTGTTGAGTCACATTATAAACTCGATTGATAAAAATCTAATAAGGTTACAGTTGTCATTTGACAATAAAGAATATTTTTTTTTTCTCTCACTATGATTATCACTTTTTTCTCTATTGTTGTCAGATAAAAAATTTCGACATGAATCGTGAGGCATCCAGCCAATGGGGCTACATAAAAAGTTACATGGGGCTATGTATAAATGTTTTTTTAAAAAATAAGATAATTTTTTTTTTGGGACATGAGGCTGGAGTCCACCCTAGCCCTAGGGTGGCTCCGCCCCTGACACCCGTGTAATACACGGGTACTTGTCAAAAAAATATTCTTAAATTTTAAAATTAACTAGAAGAAATATTTTAAACTTTATATACATTTTTACAAAAAATATATGTTATTGCATATTGTTAGAATGACACTTGTTATTTGTGCGGCTTACTTGTGTTATATTATAGTAATTTTTATAACTTATATCATATAACTATTTGAAGTATAAATATATTATTTCATAAATAATTTTATTGTTCTAGTTAATATTATAAATCGATATTATTATTGTTATAAAAAATAATATAATTTATTTGTTATAAAAATAAATTAATTAATATGGATGTTAAATCAAAGTTTATCAAGAGATGATTAATTTGATATACTATATATGTAAAACTGATAAAAAATACAAATGTTTACTAACTTTTAAAATACATTTACAAATCAATGACTATAATAGAAATGATATTAAAATACAATTAATACATGTAACATTACCACAAATTAAAATACAATTAATACATGTAACATTACCACAAATAGTCAACATATTTATGGATAATCCGGACCTAATTATTTTTGGATTGTAAGTAAATTAAAATCTACTCAAGCCTAATAACGAAACATGTAATTTTGCCACATAGGATCCCTAAGCATGCGAGCCTACTATTTAAGCTCAACACGTTTTGAATTTGTATATAGGGGATATTACATGCTGTAGTGCTTTGTAAGACATATTAATAAATATATATCTCCATGTGTATACTGTATTTTAAGAAGATAAATATAATAATATATATTTTAACGTTATACTATATTTTAGAAAATTACAGTCTCTTGGTATTATAGTTGATATATAGTATATTATTATTATTAAGTTTATTTTGTATTAAGCTTCAAATTCTCTTTACCAGCTGTATATATCAATTCTATTTACTCACATCTTTTTCAATGATAATTTATTTAGAAATCATTATGGGAATGCTCTAACATTTCACACCTCTCTATTCATCTATTTCAAACATTAGACATAACTATTTAATGATATTGTTTGTTTTTTTTGTATATTTGGTCTCCAAAA